AGCAGGCTTTACTCCAACATCAATACCTAAAAGACAGAGGTAGTAGAAGGTTAGTTTGTTTATCCCCTGCCTAGCAGTAGCACCAACCAATACATGAGATTACCTTTTACTACTTCAGAAGCCAGAGTTGGCACGTATATTCCAGCATAAGACTCTCCAGATATGTAAAATGGGTTCGTGAGGAACTCCGGGTAGATCTCAAACCACTAGAGGGAGAGAGAGCATCATTTAGTTGAACCATGAATGAGTTAGAAGGACAAAGAAATAAATGAGTTTTATTATATGGAACAACTATAAAACTTAGAACTCCACCGCTGTAGGCTGCTCACACTGCCAGTCCCGAATAAAGGAGTATTGCAGTAGGTTGATTGCTAGCGTAAAACTAGTAAAAGTAACTATCAACCCAAGTTTATGGAATATTACCTTGAGGAGAAACGAATGGCTATCAGATGCAGTCTTTAAGTCTCCTGTCACGTAGTCAGATTTATTGTTCGAGTAAGACAATCCAACGCCAACAGGAGAGTCCAGATATATTATATTGGAAACCTGGAAGAATCAAATCATAATGAGTGGCTAATGAAATGTAAGTATATGCTAAAAGTAGAATTAACACAAATAATAACCTTAGACCAACTGTATGGATTGTTATGCAGAGAAGGCAGGCTACCACTTGGCTTTCCAAAATCAAAATTAAAAGGCCCTGCAATGTAAAGAAATACCCTTCCTTATTACACAAAAAAAAAAAAAACTAGTAATATGCATCTCTATGGACGACATTTCCGATTAACATCTTTTACTCTTAACCATCCCTATGTTAGCAGGATTCGGAGATGTAGACAGTCTATTCTAATACAAACATTAGTGTCTGCTTCCACAAAAATGGAACTACTAACATGAAGAATAAGAAAGGTTATCAACTACAACATGTGAAAATACACTTATAATGTAAGGATTTACCAAACACGCTATTAGTCCCTCACTCTATGTCAAAAGGGGATCTTCATCTACTATATATACGTAAAAAAAAAAAAAAAAAAACCTTGTGCATAAAATGTAATTTTTCGATAAAGGGGTTGTTACGTACCATGCTCATAGACAAAGCCATCGAAGCTTGAACAGCCAGGTCCACCATTAAGCCAAAGAACAACTGGATCCTTTGATGGATTTCGTTCAGATTCAATAAAGTAGTAATACAAATTCTTGCCATGACTTTCATCTATAGTAACATACCTGAAAACCCCATTTCAAGAAACATTCAGAAAAATACAAAAATAAAGATAAAGATTACATCTTTTTATCAAAAAAACACAAAAAGAATACAAACCCAGCATAATGTTTTGAGTGAAAAGTGCCATTGAAGCCAGGGAGTTGAGTTATCAGTGCCTTCTGAGGTGCCCCTTCTGTTACCAAAAACAAAAATGCCAACAAACTAATTAACAGTATATTATAGTGTAAAAAAAGTTTTTTTTTGCCATGTTTGGTAATATCAAAATTCTGAATTCTTTGATGGGTTTTTATAGCTAAAGTAAACTGTAGCATCCAACTTTTTTTTTGCTCAAGGCAATATTGGGAGAAAGTGACAGAATATAAGATTTTCAAAATACAGTAAATTAGTTATTATCTGAAGTTGAAGCCGCGCCAGAATTTTAAGTTTATAAGTTTTGAGTTTTAGAAAACAAGTGTATTGAAAAATTATACATATAGATGAAGCGATTTTTAAACTATAAAGTATGGACCAAAACACCTAACCTATAAGCAAAATCATAATTCCGTCCCTATTTTTCTTGGTTCGGAAACTTTACATAAATATGTTATATTAAAAAAATATTTACCATTTATAGCAATAACATATTTTTACTTGAATTCTTATAATATATTTATAATACAATTTTAATATATATTATTAATAATTTATAAAAACACATATAATACAATTTTTATTGATGGATAATATATTTATTATACAGTTTAATATACTTATAATATATTGTGTCAATTTATTATCAAACAAGTATAATATATTTTAAAACATAATACATCTATATTGCATGCATAATTTCACTTTTAATATATTGTGCAGATTTATCATAATATATGTTGCTATAAATGGTAATAAACAAAAAGTATCGCTAAAATCAATAATTATTTATTAAAACATAATCTTTCAATTATTTATTGGCTCATTGCAAAATCATTAATAAACACGTTTTATATTTGACAATAATTTAATTTAGCTTTTTATTTAAATATTAATATATCTTTAGAAAATCTCATAACGTCTTTATATCACAAAGTTTTTTTAAAAGAAATCCCACCTACGATCACTTTTTTCTTTTCTTTTTTTAAAGCAAAAAGCTCACTTTGCTGTTTAGATTATAAATTTATTCAGAGTCTAATAAAACGGAGACTGTACATACCACATCATGTTTTTATGATGTAATTTTGCTGCTCTTATTTTAATATTGGTACTTAGAACTAATGACAATAACACATCTTATTTTAGGATTATCATGATGGGAGCCAAAAAGAAAATAAAATTAATCACCTCACCAACCAATTTGTCTAATCAATCCCCTTGATAATATTTTGTTAATCCTTCTTTAATCTCTAATTAAAAACACGTTTATATGTTTTTTGTATATGTCACTGGTTTATGGATTCAGGTTATTAAATCTCACATCCTACAAAGTTATCATTTGAAACTGCTCAATTAAAATTTATGGTTTAAAGTAAAATAAAATAAAATATATTTAAAAAATCGTTAAGTGCATTTTGTGAAGTCCATATAATGATGAGACATAAGAGAGATTTTGTGGACTTCCGTCTAAAGATAAGAGCGTGATATATAATGTGTCTGTTAAATGTATGTAATGATGTTTAACTCAACTATAGATAAAAATATGATTTTGAAGGAGAAAAGGGTAAAGAGACGAACCTATTATTTATCGAGATTTAAATATTATGTCGCTTGTTATTGAAGGATTTCATTTAAGAAGATAGATTAAAAAAAAAACTGTTTTTCTGATGTATAATCAAATATGACAAAAATGAAATAGTTAATTTAGAGAAATTGAGTTGAAATTAGAAAGTAAAATCGTTAGAACATAAAAAAAAATAAAAAAATGTGTACAATGTACATAGAGGAGGAAATATTAGTGTGCAGGAGGAAGGTAGATATGATATTTAATTTAATCAAATAGAAAATTTATCGTTATTTACTCACTAATTTATACAATCCCAATCAATTGTAAGATTTCACTATTTAGGTAGGTAAAATCTTTGGTGAACTCTACTATCGATTGATGAATTTAATTTTATTTCATGTCTCGCTACTTGTTAATCACACAAAAAGAAGTCATTAATTTAAACATAGAGATCTCTTATGCAATCATCTCTAAAAAGAAATAGAATGAATGTAATTGAGTTCAAACAAACTGGACGAGTTAATGAACGATGATCATAAAAAAAGTGAAAGGGTTAATAAACTATTACCATTCAATTGGTGAGCCTTTAATGCCACCCAATATTCCTTCATTTTCCAATTTTGTTTTACGAATATACTTTTTTGATATTAAAGTGTGTATATTAGTTGTTACAGACTTCATAAAAATAAAAAGAAGGATTGAACTCAAAAATCATTCAGATCTCTCCCACCAAAAAATAATTTGATTGGTCACATGCATCGATATGATATAAACAAACAAACAGAAATGATCCAAGTCGTAAGTAGCTCAAACAAAAAAAAAAAAAAAACAGAAATGGTGCAAGTCATACGCGCTCAAATAGAAAAAAAAATGGTTTAAGTTGTAAGTGCCCAAAAAGAAAAAAAAAATGGTCAAAGTTGTAAGTGCTCAAAAAGAAAAAAAAATGGTCCAAGTCGTAAGTGCTAATAAAAATGCTAATAAAAAGGACCAAGTCATAAGTGCTCAAACAAAAAAAACAAAACAAAAATTATTCAAGTCGTAAGTGCTCAAACAAAAAAAAAATATCTCAAAAAAACTTCAAATTTACCTAAACTTAATTATTTTACTGTAAAACGTCAATTTATATATAAAAATCTATCAAAATTATATTAAAAACTAAATATAAATATAACTTTAAGAAATTATGAATTCAATACTAAAATTTTAAAAAATAAATATATAAAATTTAAATTATGATTCTGACGAATCTTGTTAATTAAACTTATCAAGGGTTCAAAATCCAAATTGGTCCTAAAAGATAAAAGTGGACATGGCCAAAAAGGGATGGCACAACAGAAAGTTAATGTAAATGGCATGCGACAAAATTGGGACATCCAATAATAAAACAATATAACAATAAAGCACCACTAAACTAACCGCACGTTTAAAAAGTACGTGGAATACATCGATCACTCTTTAAATTTTATATCTAGATCTACTTAGATTTTTTTTTTTATTTTTAAGGGGGTGCACATTTAAAAAGTATGCGGAATACATCGACCATTTTAAAAAATTTATCTCTAGATTTACTTAGATCTTTTAAGGGGATGTTTGGTCAGAAAAATCTTTAAAAATTATTTTATTTAAAATTTTCAAAGTTGTAATTGATCATATTTTTTGTATTAAATTTTTAGAATTTGAATGTATTTTTCTTAAAAAATATTATATATAATTTAAATAAAGTTATTTTATTAAAATAAAAATTTAGGAAAAAAGAATTTTTAAAAGTAAAAATAGAGTTTTGGTTGTTTTTCAAGTTCCTAGTTGTATTTGGAGTTTATGGTGTCTTTTAATTGAGAATCTAAACACTTTATAAATACATGATAAAATATTTTTATCAGATTTTTTTAGCTCATTTTTCCTCAAGTTCTCAAGTGAGTATTATGTAGATATATTTATACAATATGTCATATCTATTAGTGTCGGATCCTCCTCCAAGAATGCCCGACATGGACCTGTTTTTAAAGAGTCCGAGCAATATAGATTCCAACTGTCGAATGATCGTGATTCGTGAATATGGAAAATACCAAGGGGATATGATGATATAAATATTGCATATATCTGATCTTCACAAAAAAGATGTAACCTATTTCATGCCAACCAACTACATTGTGATTTCATAGTTTCACTAAAACAACATTATTAACATAATGAATTGAATAAAACCAATGAAAAGCTGTTAAAAAAACAACCACAACAAAATAATATAACATAGGACTTTTTGATGAAAGTTTTTCAAGTTGTATCTGCATAATACTGAACAAGAAGTTACTTCCTCATTCAAGAGATGGAGCAAGGCATTCGTCTACCATGTCGACAAGGTTAGGGTTTTCTAATGCTGCAGCGACTCGTTCTTTATCATTCAACTGCTTATTTACTGCAATCACAAAACAAATGATCAGTGGTAATGCTCTTAGAAAGCTCTCGTGTGGTAATGCTTGATGATCAAACAAGAAGCTTGTAAGGTTTTCTTTTGGGATAAACTTACATTAACTAATAGCGTGAACAACCATATACACAGAAAAAGAAATGCATAATCAACTCTATGCCCGTGTGGTATGCTAAGAAGAGCAAATATAATTTATAGTTCGGGAGCTTTGCTCGAAAAGGGATGATGCCCTTTTGTCAAAGCAAAAAAGAAGGGACAAATGCTGGCGGAGTGACAGCTAAAGAATTGGAGTTTACTGGTAATAGTGACTAAATATTGGATGTTGTATGACAGATACAGAGAGACAAATACCTGCAGCTTCCGTAGCATGAGTCCCAGGTGCTACTCTAATATCCACCTGGCAAGACAACAACGATATATTACTAAAAAGAACAAGCAAACTGAAAACTTGCAAATAGATTAACATTTCCAACAATTTAAAGTCACAGCTAGATATCAACTAAAAACGTCAATGATTAAAAGAAAATCATAATATTCCAACAAAAGAATGATTTCCAATAGAAGTCGTTGATTCTTGTAGTTTAAAAATGCAACAAGAATGTTGAAATATCATAGAGAGACTGGTTACAGGTATGAATGTCTTCTCCAGTACTCTGTGATTTTGGGAATTGTTGATTTCTATAAAATCATAACAGCATATCATGTAAAACGTAATAAATAGTCTATCAACTGTAATATGCTTTTTACAGGGAAAGATTGTAACACACACGAGTCTGTAAGGGTAATAAAGCATACCTTGTAACGTGAAGGCAAACATCGCATAAGTTTCACACGTAAACATAATCCAATAACAGTCGCCATGCTGCAATGTTCCACAGTAGGCGTGAATGTGACCCTGAATCGAAGAAATTCTTCTTCTTAGACAACAAGAAAATGCCAACTACGAGGAATCAAAATAGAATCATACGAAAAGGATTTAGTTCTCACCTTACATGGCTTCGCTTGTCATCTACCTCAATGGCATCTTCTGTTATAACTTTCAGCTCTTCCAGAGAATAGGGATGCTCTGGATCTTTTATATCTCTAAGGTAGTGTAAGAATGTTAAGGAATGATTACCTATTCATAGCTATAAATTTAACCCGAACAAATCAAACTTCATACTTGCTTAGTTCCCTTTGAAATGACACAATGATAACCCAAACAGGCAGAAAAAGATTTAGAAGGATCCTATTAGGATACATAATCAAATGGATGTACTCATGTTACTCGTCGAAGGACACTGACATTTGTGAAGCAAAAGGAGAAGTACGATAGAATGTAAAAGTTCATCAAGCAGTAAAGTGAAGATTGCAATTGGTTACACTGACCCATACTTTAATTGAATAGGAAGTATACAAAGATAATCGATCTCAGATTGAACAGTATCACCTCAGATCAGTACCGGAAGCAGTGTGACCCTGAAAATTTTCATGACATGTGATCCTATAATATTCTACTATTTGCTAAGAATAGCAAACCAATGCGCACTTCAAATTGCCATGGACAAAAGCACAAAAGATATAAAACAAATGTCGAAGTGCAAATAATGCATGCCCTCATCACCCTCTCCTCTCTCCCCCTCCCCACAAATATGGTTATGTGGAGGGTGTGAGTTGAGGCTTTCCTTTCCAAACATTATAGAATCTCATGTCAGAGAGAGCTGACAATCCAACAAATTTGTATAAGACATGAAGGGGAAGTTCAACAGAAATTGAAATTTAGGGAGAATTCCTAGGATTGGGAGAAGGATGAATCTCAAAACCTGGTTGATCTTTGTTTGGACAGAGTACCATATGCTACATCAGATCCGTGGAGCATGAGGATTAGGGACGACTTGTTCACAGTTAAAGTCATATTAACAGAGTTTGTACAAGAAAAAGAGAAAGCTTGCAAACACAATTCATGAACCTTTAAGTCATATTAACAGAGTTTGTACCAGAAAAGAGAAAGCTTGCAACATATTTCGCGCACCAAGGTGCAAAAGGTTTTCTCCATTGATTGTTTGCATAGAATGACATGTCCCGTTAATAAATATAAGAAAAAGTTATGAAGAAAGGAGCAAAGGGTTCTTTCTCCACTTCATCTTTCACATTGAACTATAGAGTACAAAAATAAATATCAGAAACAAGTAAGACGAAATTAACTCTACTTTGCAAATTCAAAGACCTCCTCCAGGTATTCTATGTATCGTTACTCATAGACTTAACATGCTAGTACTGCTCCGTTTGAAATCTGAATGATTGTATTTGAGAGAATAAAACTCACAGATTCTGAAGTGGATGGGTTTTAGCCTCATAGATAGTCCCTTATCATAGAAAGATTAATTTCAAGTCAAACATAACAGGTAGAATGCAATCATTCAGAAGGATATCAAAAATTTCTAGCTGGTCGATAGTTTCAGCTGAATGTTCAGCCGTACTTGGAGCAATCCTAGCTTGACGCTCCTTCTTCTCATACACAATGGGATTGGCATTTATCAATTCAGAAACCATCTTCAAGTCTGACCTTAGTAAGATTCACCTGTCAGTTACGATGTCTATCAAGATCATAAAAAACCTACTAACTTCCTTTGGAATAAAAATAAATAAACTTCCAAACTTCAAAATTGTCTTCTTTTTTGTTGGTTTCCCACTTGGTTATGATACCCGCATTGGAGCCCGACTAATTCGCATTCGCGCATTGCACGGCCCCTTTTGGGAGGCTGCGCTACCAGGGCTCAATTCGAGACCTAACCATCCCACCACAACCCATATTGGTAAAAAATTGTCTTTCTTAGCATTCATTGGCTCAAATGACGGCTTTTTTCTAAAACCTCTCCTTGCATCAAAAGAAGAGATAGAAATCTCCGCAGGAAAACCTCATCAAACAGAAGATAATTTGTTTCTTATAAAGAGAAAACATTTACTACCCTCATCAACCTGAAGTAAACAAGGTATTACAAGCATCCAGCTGCCAAAATAAAAATAGAAACAATATAGGATTCAAGCTATATACAAAGGAAAATAAATCACCTAATGACTGACCCGATAAAAACTTATCCAGCATTCTGCCATAGATTTTGGATCTAAGTTTTGAAAATTTATTTTCAAATATCTATTTGGCCATGAAATTTGATCAGACTTTCATATATTTTCAAGTTCCCAAAAACTGATCTTCCACTCGCAAAAAATCAATTTTTTTCCAAGTAAAATGCATTTTCAAGAACAACTTCAAAAACTCAAATTTTCAAGTTTGAACTTTAGAATCGTACGGCCAAACGGGAAAATTCAACAAAATAATAGTTATCCAGAATCCTCATGACTTTTCTATGAACAAACTCATATATTGATATACATCAACTAGAAATATACGTTTACTCATCCAAACCATGTGAAAAAAACACATCAAAATCACAAAATTTTCTCGAGTCGTCGGAATTTTTCCCAGAAAGAATCATAATAAGCATAACAAATTCAAGATAAAAAAATAATCACAAATTCAATAACAAAACAACAAAAAGTAAATATTTTTTTAATAGATTATACTTACAAGTTCGATTTCCAATCTGAAGAATCGGATGTTGGCGGGGAAGAAAAACTCCTAAATCGTGGGACCTTTAACGCCTAAAAATTTTCTTTTTTGCGATTTAGTTATCATTTTTATTTTTAAACGACCTACCTCGAAATGGACCATATAATTAAAATTGTATTTTTAATGGACTAAAATTATTTCTAAAAAAAATGTTTTCTTATTATCATACAATTTAAATAAATAACAATAGTTGTTACAAAATTCTTATAAATTCGCATCAATTGGTTTTGTTTTTCTTATCTTATAAATTAATAATTTATACTGAGTTTTAAATAAAATCACCTCCTTTTTAAAATAAATTTAGATATGATATGTCTGAACTTTGAATAAAATATCTTAATTTCAGACATGTGCATACACTATAGGCCACTTTGTAGAATTAAGCTTTGTCCAACGTAACTTTAAAGACATATCTAAAGTTATTTCAAAGTGCATAAACTTGCAAACTTTTGCTTCAAACACATGTTTTAAAAAAATTATTGCATATACACATAAAGAGATCAATTTTTATGAAAATTTTTTCATTACTTACACATTTATCTAAGAAAAAATATATTCATCAATACAGACTATTATAAAAATCAACTATATCTCTAAAAGAATTAAGTGACAAAAAGATTTTAAAAAAATATTAAATTAAACGTTAATAATAATAAACTTGAAATCTAATCTTACTTGGATTTGACGACTATAATATTTTCATTGGATATTAAAATAAGATTATTTAGGTCTTTTACATACAAATTCACTAGTAAACATATAAAACCAAGGTATACTACACAAAATCTCTTGCACAATACAAAATAACTCTCTTAACTATATTCACAATATAGACTCTCTTTTTTTTAAAAGAGAACTGCAATAGAACACTGACTACTTACAAAGCCATACACCCTATTTTTTTTCCAAAATTTCAATCAAAACAAAGAATTTGGAGATAAAAAAAATCCAGCACACATGAAAATTTTCCCAGTTTATCTGTTGCTGTTGTCATCCATTGAACACTCAGACGCGGTATCATCCAACGTTGAGGTTGAAATTGTGTCCACTGAGCTACTATCACTATCTGAAATTGAAATTTGGTCCTCCATTGGTTGTTTCAAGTGCCAATACATTATACTTGCTGTGAGTGTAAGCATCATCTTTTGATTTACCTGATTAAACACACACACATACACACCATTATACTATGATTTTGCAGTATTACAGTTGTCAGTAGAGGACACAATACAAGCATCGATAGGGTTAATTCACGAATGGTCACTGTTATCATGTCTAATTTGTTTCCTCCGAATGACTTTCTGTTATACTTGCAAGAGAATTGTCTAGTAACTTTCACGATACTTAGGCATAGTTGAGTGACCATCCGTGAAATTAAACCGCATGTGATTTTACTTGTTTTAGTATTAGAGGCAGCAAATTCAATTGCCTGAAAGCTAAAGGCATCACAGACAGGTTATTAAGTGTCCTGAAAGATAGAATGCATCAAATATCCATGCATGTTGAGCAAATGAATGATTACCTCAATCAGATCTTCGGGTAATAAAAATATTGAACATCCAAGTTTCCTTGCAATACTGATAATGTAGGTTGCGTTCATCTTCTTTTGCTCCTCTGCATCAATCAAAATTTCGTATTACTAAGAAGTCTAATGTACTGACAATATCAGGACTGAATGGAGAAACAATGCCTCGTGTTGATACTAACAAGCAGCTAACATAAAATCAGAACAACATAATGAAGGAGCCTATTTGAAGTCTGAAATAAGATTACCAGTTTCTCCTTTTGTAACAAGACTCCAGTTAACAGCTCGAGGGTGTACAGCACTAAGCAGCTCAAGGAAAAAGATGCCATCTGACAAACTCTTATCCTGTAAATTAAACAGACTCAGTTCTCTGTCTCATGATAACGAGAGGCAAAAGAGGTGTATGCTAGCCAAGTTGTGGGGTATCATTCAACTAGTAATCCCTCATCCAACAACTATATCAGAATATCTGATCATAAATCATAAATCATAAATCATCCCATTTTTACCAAAAACAGGTGTCCAATTGAAAATCAGAGACTGTAAAAGGTTACAACTTTCTTTGCAAGCCATATCAGGTAATCTACCACCAGGAAAAGATTGATTGTGACTTTTACTAACTGAAAGTTCGATAGTCAGGGCTTACATATCATATGTATACATGTATAGTCTGCCTAAGTAAAACTTATAACTTGTTGTGCACACCAACATTATTTTCACACCTTTTAATTACTGATAACAAAACAATTCAAAGCAAGGCTCAAAACATTGAAAATAGATGCTATATGCACCCACCTACACACACACTCAAAGCTAATAATGATCATATGTCTGCTAGCAAAGCCATGCTTTATCAATATAATCAATCGAAGGCCTACTCAACTCTATTGTTCTGAATCTGAAAATGACTGATCTTAGAAATTTTACCTTAAAACTAGCCATGCGACTCTTGCTTCCTGAATTTCTTACTTTGCTGTTGGACCACTCTAAGATATCTGCATCAGTGATTTCCTTCCCGTTGGAATGAAATCTCAAATTCTTCAAGAGCTGAAGCATGTTACATCGCATTAACTGCCACAAGTAAGCTGAAATAGGGAACAAAGAATGTTGGTCCAAAACAGTTGAGTTAAACAATCCCTCCCCCTTCCCCGAAAACCAAAAAAAGCATGTTGGTATTACAGATATGAATAAAGGAGACAAAAAGAAGAAGAAGAAGAAGAAGAAGAAAGGTTGACAACACTTACCCAATATTAATTTCTTATTTCCCTGTACAATGTCATTTCCAGCAATATTTACAAGAGAAAACTTCAGTTGCTTCCCGATCTTCACAACTTGGTTGCAGTTTTCTACTTTTCTGAATGGCATCTTAATTGGAGGCTTAGTAGCAATTTTCCAATTAACAATTCCAGGAGACACCTTGTCAAGTGTCTCTAAAAGCAACCATCTGGAAAGACACAAACAGTTCATTAGATTGAAATAAATACACCAGCGCACAGGCACTCTGGTAAAAGTGGTCATGGTATGAATACTTATCACTTCCATACCAGATAGATATATAAATGTCATTGCACTTAGCTCACAACAGAGTTCAATTTATATAGTTAGTCAGGAATTTTTGTAGTAACATCAAATAAGCCCACTGCCATGGGGAAAGTTTGCAGCATTCGGTAACCGAGGTAGCACTCACCCATTTCTGAGATCTTCAAAAACATTGTCTATGTAAGATGAATTTCCAAGACTATTTATCCAAAAGCGGAAAGCTCTCTCTTCCCTGGACATTTGAGCTTCATCTGGTGAAATCTCCAGAAAGGATATTTGCTTTGTTTGAGTTGACAGCCCATTCCTATTGATAAGAGGTTTATGGTTAATTCAAGATTGAAACAAGTAATCAAATAACTAAATCATACAGTTAAATGTCAGTCCCTATGAAATGTGTAGCACAAATTTTACCATACTTGCTATTGAAGTTATAACCTCTCAAACTTGATTAGCTGAATTGGCTTATCATACAATTGGTCATTCTATTACAAGAGTGTGGTACAGGCACTCTCAAACTTGACTAGCTGAATTGGCTAATCATACAATTAGTCACTCTGCTGGCATTCAATATGCTAAGAAAGAAACATGGTAAAACACCAAGACATGCTGTTTTAGAAGAACGAGATAAAATGCATACTAACATGGTCCATAAGTTGCACATATTCTGTCTATATTGCTAATCAGAAAGCAATAAACTTATCAAAACCTTTTCCTACCACAACTGAAATTCTTAGAACAGAAAAGGCTTAACCAGAGACTTCTTCTCGTAAATGAGTCACACACAAGAAAACTTTAAACAGAAACAGTCAGCAAGTTCATATGTAAAACGCAAAGAAACACATGCTTCTTACCTGTGCTGAAAGATATGTGCTACAAATGCAAGATTAAGATTTGGAGAGCCTTCCACAATATCTTTTGCTGTTAAGTATCTTTTGCAACCCATCCTACCCGCATGTTCCAATACGAACTTTGCTCTTTCTAAATGGTCTTTCACAGTGAGTGTTGTAGGATTAATGTACTCTGGGGCAAGAACATTTAAGAGGTGAGCATAAGCTTCTGCATCCTACAAAAGCAGACAGATGGCTTAAGAATCAGCATTATTCACTCAAAATGGACAAAAATAACACGAAAGGGATGAAGAGGAAAGCTCTTTTCTTTTATTTCTGGATGGACAAGAAAGACTTGCACCACGCATTCTATAAAAGATAAATAGCTTATTTAAGAACTCTCAACACATTGATGTCTTAAATATGTATCTGATGCTTTTTCGTTTTTTCAATAAATAACTTATTTAGAATTTCTGGGAATTGGAAGGAAAAAAACAAGCACCTCAGTGGCTCAGTCTTCCTCTCTCTGAGGGAAAGAGATAACATTAAAGACCGAGGAAAATGTTGCACATATTAAAAATTTGCATAGTCACACCTAATTGATGCAAAGTCCAGCTTATTTTTATCTACCTTTATGTCAGATGAGAAGTTAGTCACAATTTTCTCGTATTTAGCTTTCTTCAATTGAAAATTCATCCATCTGAGCAAGATTTTTTCTGGAGGTAGACTCATCAACTCCTCTGCATCCTGACATCAAAGATTTGAGATAATCAAGTATATAACACAAGTTTTGGCACAAGTTGTCAATTGATGAAAGCATAGATGAGTGTATGTCTTTACCTTGTTATCATCAACTAACTCCAACAATTGAGGTGTTTTCTTTAAGTTGAGGTCCGCCAATAGTTGAATCTGAAACAGCATGAAAGTAAATCAATGTCCTTAAAAAGTTTTGGTACTGGTTTCAAGCCTGTGAGCTAAAATCTGTGGCCATGATTTTTAATATCTAAAATGAAGATTCCTTCATTTTGTAAGGCAATCTTTACGTACCAAAGTTACCTCATTATTTCAAAATTTTAAAATCCACTAAATGATTTAGAAAAGGACACATTTAGGTTACCTTAATAATTTGAGATATCACTCCAAGAACAAGATGCCTCTGGAAAC